TCTTTAGGTCCCCGAACGGGACCCCCTCCGGCCCCTGGCTGCGCCTAGAAATTCTGTCCATAAACACAGTGAACAGAACCGGTGACAAAGGGCACGGGAACAGGTCTGACTTACTGCCGGCAATGCGAACACAGCTCTCGCTCTGGTCATACAGGGACCGGACGGCCCTCAGCAGAGGATCCCGGACCCCGTACTCCCGGAGAACCCCCCAAAGGACACCCCGGGGAACACGGTCGAACGCCTTCTCCAAATCCACAAAGCACATGTGGACAGGTTGGGCAAACTCCCATGAACCCTCGAGTATCCGATGGAGAGAATAGAGCTGGTCCAGTGTTCCGCGACCAGGACGAAAACCACACTGCTCCTCCTGAATCCGAGATTCGACCATCGGCCGTAGCCTCCTCTCCAGTACCTTGGAGTAGACCTTACCAGGGAGGCTGAGGAGTGTGATCCCACGATAATTGGAACACACCCTCCGGTCCCCCTTCTTGTAGAGAGGGACCACCACCCCGGTCTGCCACTCCATTGGCACCGCCCCCGATCGCCACGCAATTCTGCAGATACGTGTCAGCCAAGACAGTCCCACAACATCCAGAGACTTAAGATAGTCAGGACGGATCTCATCCACTCCCGGCGCCTTGCCACCATGGAGGCTGCGAACCACCTTGGTGACCTCAGCCAGGGAGATAGAAGTATCCGCCCCAACATCCTCAGCCTCTGCCTCCGGGACGGAGGACGTGACGGGGGGATTGAGGAGAACCTCGAAGTATTCCTTCCACCGCCCGACAACATCCCCAGTCGAGGTCAGCAGCTCTCCACCCGCACCGTACACGGTGTTGGCAAAGCACTGCTTCCACTTCCTGAGGCGCCGGACGGTTTGCCAGAATCTCTTCGAGGCCGACCGATAGTCATGCTCCATGGACTCTCCGAACTCCTCCCAGTCCCGGGTTTTTGCCTCTGCAACAGCCCGGGCCGCGGCACGCTTGGCCTGCCGGTACTGGACAGCTGCCTCAGGAGTCCCACGAACCATCATGGCTCGATAGGACTCCTTCTTCAGCCTGACGGCATCCCTTACTGCCGGTGTCCACCACCGGGTTCGGGGGTTGCCGCCGGGACCAGCGCCAGAGACCTTGCGACCACAGCTACAGGCCGCCGCATCGGCGATAGAGGAAGAGAACATGGTCCACTCGGACTCAATGTCCCCCTCCTCCGCCGGGACCTGGAAGAAGCTCTCCCGGAGGTGTGAGTTGAAAGTCCGTCTGACAGGGGGCTCAGCGAGACGTTCCCAGCAGACCCTCACTACACCCTTGGGTCTGCCAGGTCTGACCGGCTTCCTCCCCCGCCAGCGGATCCAACTCACGACCAGGTGGTGATCGGTTGACAACTCCGCCCCTCTCTTCACCCGAGTGTCCGAGACACGCGGTCGAAGGTCAGATGATACGACAACAAAGTCGATCATCGACCTCCGTGTCCTGGTGCCACGTGCACTGGTGGACACCCTTGTGCTCGAACATGGTGTTCGTGATGGAGAAACCGTGACTAACACAGAAGTCCAACAACTGAACACCGCTCGGGTTCAGATCAGGGGGGCCGTTCTTCCCAATCACCCCTCTCCAAGTGTCACTGGCATTTCCCACATGGGCGTTGAAGTCCCCCAGGAGAATAACGGAGTCTCCGGGCGGTGCACTGTCCAGTACACCTCCCAAGGACTCACAACAGTGAGAGACTTGTCCCCCACCCGGAGGTGGAGGGACGCGACCCTCTCATTCACCGGGGAGAACTCCAACACGTGGCGCCTCTCCCCGCGGGAAACACCAGAAAAGTGGAGTGTCCAACCCCTTTCAAGGAGTTGGGTTCCAGAGCCCAAGCTGTGTGTGGAGGTGAGGCCGACTATCTCTAGTCGGTATCGCTCAACCTCCCTCACAAGCTCGGGCTTCTTCCCCCCCAGTGAGTTGACACAACCGGACACATACAATTCACACATGAGGAGGAGAGGGATGGCTGCATACCTTTTCTGGACTTAAACATTCACCACCAGCAGGACGGCAGCATCAAGACAATAGTATACAGGAAACCAACACACGCCGATCAATATCTACTCTGGACTTCAGGACACCCCATTTCCCACAAACTATCTGTTGTCAGAACACTATTTGAACGCCTCAACAACATCACGGAGGAAGAAGACAGGATAAAATAAGAAGGACACATAATCCAAGCACTCAATATCCCAGATGGGCTATACAGAAAGGAACACAACAGGTACTCAACAAACAGATCACACAAAAACAGAGAAGAAAGCAACCACAAAAACACAACGAGCACAAAGACATAGGCCCCGTCCCAATACTCGCACTTCCACCCTCGCGCCCCTCATTTGCGCGTTCCCGATAAAGGGTGCGAGTGCGTAAGGTGTCCCAATTCTCCAGGGAGGTCTTTGGCCCCGCCCCCTTTGCGCCCCTGATCCACACTTCGCCGTAGCCTGCATCTATGCGCACTCTGGCGAAGGATATTGCCCATAATTCTTTGCGGTACACACCAAAACGTCGGGAAAATGCATTTAAATATAAATTTTGAAATATATATGCAGTATGTGTGTAAATAAGTTTTGCTATGTTACTTGGAAAGAAGCATAAACGTCTGATGAAGAATTACGGACATTGTGTTTTAACAATTTAATAACTTTTTAAAGCAAGCGTTTATATAACATTAAATTTAAACTTTACACTTAGTACAATAATCTTAGAATGTATAAAAACTGACCAGATAGTTAGTTACCCACATTTAACTTAAAATTATACAGCTATCTATAATTAAAAACAACTAATATACATGTGTTTTAACGTGTGTGAAGCAATTCATTTTGTTTCCCAAAGGGTCAGACAAAATTACCTTTAATGTTTATAAAGTTTAGTTCTGAAAATGACCATCTCTTGACGAGTCAATGACGTAACCTGCACTCAGTGTGCACTGTCCTAATTCCGCCTTTTTTGCACACTTGTAACCTGCGCACTCCAACCCTGGTGTGCACTTCGAACAAATGCACACTTCGTAGAGGTGTGTAGGGTGCAGTGTGGGTATTGGGACTGGGCCATAGTCACCATACCATACATACGAGGGGTCACGGAGCAGATACAGAGAGCAATCGGAAAACACAACATTAATGCAATAATCATACCACACAAGAAGCTCAGACAGATCCTCGTTCACCCAAAAGACAGAATACAACCGAAAAAAAGTGCAATGTCATATACGAAATACCATGTAGAACCTGCAATAAAACATACATCGGAGAAACAGGGAGAGCTTTCAGCACCAGAAGAAAAGAACATCAAAAGGAATGCGAAAAAGAAACAGCAGCGCGACTAACAAGATCAACCAAGGAAAAGGCAACACAGGAAAACCTCAAATCAGCAATATCAGACCACTGCAAAAGAGAAAATCACATCATGGACTGGGACAATGCAAAAATAGTAGGAACAGACTAACATAAATACAAAAGATGGATACGAGAGGCAATTGAAATCAGGAAGCGGGGAGCACGGACCATCAACAGAAACGAGGGAGCTTTCACTTTGGCTCACACTTGGGATTCACAGAGACCACAGCGCGGCGGGGGACGTGGTCACTCTGATGGATCTGTGAGATCTGTCAGACTGACCGCATCCGGCAACAACAGCTGATACGAGACGCGTCACACCATCACGTGTTACCTCGTATGAAGGCGGAAGTGTACCGCCGAAACATGTCAGGTAATTAAGCAGTACTAGCTTTTTTTGCTTTATTTGTCTTGTTAGAAGAACATAAAAAAGCCTTAAACATTAGGAGACAGAAAGAATTTTCTACATTTAAGCTCCAATGTTGCTATGACCCGCACCAGTGTGCAACTTTGGCAGTAACAGAGGGGAGAGATGATGCATGTGGATGTTGCGTATGGAGGGGGAGAATGTGTATGTGTGTGTAAGTAAGTAAGTAAGTAATCTCTATTTATATACCGCCTTTCACAGACCAGAGTCACAAAGCGGTTTACAATTGTTATTTTTGGGCACTTGTCCTCTCACTCCACACAGAGATGGGGGCGGGGTCGCCGAACGTGTGTGTGCGTGCATATGTGGCGCGTGCGGCTAGAGAGTTGTCCGCAGTTTACTAATACATTGGCGCACACAGCTAGAGACGGACCCGCTCGTCACACCGTGCAAATAGGGGTTAAAATAGCGTTATTAAGAAACGTCCCCTCTTCCTCTTTTTCTTTTTTTGACCGACAGCTTTGACTGGTTAACGCTGTGACGGTCAACCACCGGTTAAACGGTCACCGATTTACATCCCTATTGGCCACCACCAATCATTAATCATTAGCTTATCCTTTTACAGTATTTTACTAGCACCTGGTGTTCCCAGAGCTATCCCATCATGGTACTAACCAGGCCCTGTCCTGCTTAGCTTTTGAAGTTTGACAAGATCCCTCTTTCACATGCAGGTGGTGACCAATAAACTTGTATAACTTATCGAGGTCAATATTACGCAGCTGCGGTAGTGTTTTCTATCCATTTATTTTGGTGCAGTGCCAACCAATGCAAATTGGACATTCTGACCAATATTTCATTACTAATTTACAACCAATGTGTGTAAGGACCAATAAAAGAGCCCGATCTTCAGATAATAGTGTGGGACTGGGTGTGGGCACAAAATCAAAACATTAGATCCTAAGCCAATCAGATAAGAGACATATGCGGCTGTGGGTGCTGTCAATGTGCCAGGGTACACACAGAATTTTGGAATATTCATCATAATTGTGTGGGCAACCTTTGGGGGCGCGCATCCCACTTTGGGAAACACTGCCATAAAGTTCAAGCGCAGTTGTCCATCCCCACGCGCTCCCACGAGCTAGGTTAAAGCTCATTTTGTCAAAAAGGAAAATACTTGTAATATTTCTTAACCTTTTACATTGTAATTCATAAAGCATCTTTTCATAAGTTCTCTGTGTGTGTGTTGTTCTCCAGTTGTTTTTTTACAGAATTCACTATACCAAGGCTGGTTGTGACGACTACTTTAAAACTATCAATGAGTTTGTAAGTCTTGTGCAGTAGTCATTTATTGTATTGTATGTATTTGCATATTCAAAAAGAAATAAAATTTTTGTTGTATATGATTTCAAAAGGATCCAACGATTAATCTGGATAACTTTACAGAAAGATTTAAACTTGTGAATGCTTCAAGTTTAAAGGTAAACGTGTGTGCAGCCAAAGTGTGGTTTGTTACTCCATAGAGAACTGGTGTTTGATGGATTGTGTTTGTTTTTGTTTACAGGAGATGATGATTTGCACTTTAGAAAAAGGAAAAAAAATTCAGAGAAATGAGAGAATGGGTCATCTGTTACATCACTGCATAGAGAACTACAAAGTATGTAAACATACACATACTATGTACACATGCTTTTTTAGATGGATACACATCACACAATACTAGATGGTTTCTAAGAAAGGCTGTGAGTGTTTGTGATTTTCATGGGCTAGTCAGTGCTTGCACAAGTTTATAAGTCATGATATATGAACATACTGTATATAGGCTCAACCACAACGTATACGTCAAAACGTCTCCGCGCCATGCGTTCACAACTTGATCTCACACAGCTGAGGGTCTGCAGACATGTGTATGGAGCAAGCACAGACATGTGCTCCATACACATGTCTGCATGCATACACAAGTTGTGTGCTGCATCTGGACTTTGGTCCCACATGTGCTGCTCACTGGTCTTTGTGGACTTCCCTGATGTGAAAACTTGCGCTGCACGACTTGGCTAAAGTACGGAATTTGTTATTAATCCTGACCATGATTTTACGACGTTGACAATTTTCCCGTAATTCTTGTTCTAAAAGGCTTATTTTGGGGGTCCCAACCTGAAAAGTTCGGTAACCCCTGGTCAACCCCTACCTGATCCCTAGTCTTCTTTTGCCAAAGGGAGGACAATGTGTAGTATTTTTGTTCTCCATCTTCATTGATGAAAACATGTGTACTTTGTAGTTTGTACTTTTAGATATGATGCAAATTTAAATAAAATACATAAAATAGAAGAGTCTCAAGTACAACATCAAGAAAGCTCTTTGCGTGATATGTATTTTCTAACCTGCAGGAGAGTGACTTTGGCTGTGGAGATGAGCTCCCAGAATATGTGTCCTTTTTGGACTTCATGTGCTTGTTCAGCAAGGCTTTTAATAAAACCATGAATGGTAAAAACAAAATTACGAGACAAAGTTTGTCAGTTCTATGCAATCTAATCACTATATTGTCTTTCTGTTCACAGTTTGTTCACATGGTGAGTAAACATGTCAATCTCTACATTTTATATAACACAATAAAAAAACTAACAATCCTGATGAAACTAAAAGTTTATTTTGGGCAAAGAAGCAACAAAAAAGATGTATTAATCTTCTACAACTTAATCTCAGTAAATGCTACATGATGCACCATAAACCGTGGTCTGTCAAAAGTATAAGTTTTAAAGTCATGATTGTGAAGGGGGTACTCCACATTGTTTGAGCTTGCTATTTGATTTACCAGTTTCTATAAACCTATTCTCTTTCCCCACGTAGAAATTGTTGTCAAGTTGTATTGCAGGTTCGGTAAGTACCACTTTGTCCCAATTATTACAACATTAACAATAAACAATCAAATCATCCACAGCTGCACAGCAAGTCCCCTGCTGCAGCAGCTGCAGCAGCAGCAGCAGCAGCAGCAGCCGCAACAGCAGCAGCGGCAACAGCAGCAACAGCAGCAGCAGCAGCAACAGCAGCAACAGCAGCAGCAGCAGCAGCAGCCGCAACAGCAGCAGCCTTCTCACAGTCACTGCTGTGTCCACAAGTGTGAGGGCTCCATCAGTGACATCATCGTCCACTGGCCCCGCCCCAACCACAGGCTCTCAGCTCCCCGCTAGAGGTTCGTGTCTCATGGTTACTGTCGAATGGTCATTAGTTATTCAGTGAACCGATTGTTTATGTACTACCTACTACATCAACATAATAGCAGAGTTCTAAAGATGATTTTTTTTCAACTTTTTGAGTAAGACAGAGATCATACTCAAAATGCTTTATAATAAGCATCTCAGTATAGCAGTGTTGTGCTACACTGGCCTAAATCACAACATAGGCCAGTGTGTGATGTGCATTCGTTAATGATAATTTGTTTGTTGTTCATCAGATTATAATTCAATATTAACCTTTGTTTTCAATTAAGCTAGAATCTGTAGTAAGAGACAGAATACTACAGAGTGGACCCCCTTTTTGGGGGGACATTCTGTTTAAGACAATAAATGAGCATATTTGTGGGGGAGGGAAATATATACAGAGCGCTAAGAGGAGCACCCTCAGAGCTCGCTGGGGTTTAGGACACAGGGACAGCAGGGAGAGATCTTATGAATAAAGAAAATAAATGTTTGAATGGAACTTTTGTATTTTCCTTGGTCTTCCTTCCTGGTCAAATTTGAATTATGCAACATGTGCTAAAATTTTTCGGGAACGTCTAAGCTTACACCGATTCCGAGAAGACTCCAGGTTTCAGTATAATGGGAAGTTGTTGGTGAGGAGATCATAATGCATAGTAACTCTTTTTAAGACACCCAAAAGTGCTTCACGTGGCATTATTATTCACTCCATGGTGGGCCACAGAGTAATACTGATGACAGCAAGGCTACTAATCTCTGCCAATGCACAAGGCAACCATGAGTTTGGAACTTAGCAGCCACCTGGTGTTCAGAGAGGTCTATTAACCAGGAGAAAACTTCAGTGAAAAACCTAGTTGACCTGAACAAAATATAACCCCGGTCAAATGTTTATTTACAGTTTTTTTATGTTTCGAACCCAAAAAGTGGCTGATGTTTGTGACAGAGGAGAGCCCCATCCCAATTCTGAGGGCCCTTGAGGTGTTAGTGCCCTCTCCAGAAAAGTGCCTCCCCATAGGGGAGTGCCCTCCAGGGTATTCTCCCTAAGAATTGGGTCACCCCTGGATCTAGGGGACAATATGCAAATGACGCAGCAAACGTGTTCCACGTCACACACATTATCAATGTGTCTGATTTCACCACAAATAAGATCTGACACAGATATGACTTTGTGAAACACAGTATTTATTCAAATGAGACATTTTTAATTCTATTTCATATGAAGATTTGCATCATATGAAGAAAATAAGGTACTTGCACTGTGCTCCGAGCGGGTCAGAACATTCTGAGACCCGTGTGGCAGATTCTGCCTTGTTCTCATTACTGTCGGTGTAAAGAGAGTTATGTATTGTGCACGTGTGAGTCTGTGCCTCCTGTTGTTTTAACGCTGCCTTTTGGTTTGTGTGGTTGGCGATGTTGACACGTTTGTTGTTTCTAGATTTTTGTATAATTCTTTTTCTGAAAAATTCTTGTTTGGGTAGGTTTTTTTTTACATAACTGTGGTCCTCCATGACCCCTTTTTCAAACTTATCAGGGCACGGTGGAAGCCATAATATTAGAAGCACCTGTGGAAAAAAACGCATCCTTTTTGTCCCTCATCAACCAATGTATCTCAAGATGGCGCATTGACATGAAGAGTCCTCCAGCTCCCATGTACATTTATAGATCAAATTCTTAGCCTAAGAAGAAAATAAAATAATTTAAAAAATATTCTGGAGGTAAAAGGTCTAAAAAAGGTCACGTTTGTTTTTGGTTAACATGTTTTTTTTTTATTGGAGCAACTGTAGAAATTACAGAGTAGCTTTAAATAAGGCATATTCCATATCTCATACTACTGCCACATTTGCAATTTGACATTTTTAGTAGTGTGGTTTCCATTATTTAGAACCTCTTTGACTCAAATATTGTTTTGTTTTTTTCAGACGCACAAACAGGTATTTGACTTTTTTTTTACCATTTTGTTTTCAAAAACTTTTGCCTGATTAATGAATACCTGTTGTGTTCCAGTGGTCCCAGGCAATGCTGTGTATTCAATATTGGGGCTGTCTTTGATTGTAAATTTAATATTTGTTGCTATACTTTGTCGAAGAAGATCCAATCATGGCCTTTTGGTGAGTGGACACATAAGAAATTGTCTTGTGCATGGACACTTTGAGTTAACAAAAGTTAATTATTATGTAAGAGTAATGTATGTCTTTGCTGAATTTAAAATAAGATCTTTCATTATCACAGCCTATTGAACAGATTCAGAATAAATCACATTTAATGGGCGCACTTTTTGGTCACATTTTTTGGTCATTTAACGTCCAAATCTCAAAATAAGTATTTCCAAAGGTCTTCAGACCACTGAGGCTCAGTTTGTCTTTCATTTCAAGCATCCAGAGCGTGTCCCATCCACAGAGGATATTGCCTTATCTCCACAAGAGCCCGCTGGGAAGACGGAGTCATCTACATTGTTCTTCTACAAGCATTGAGCCAAAGTGGACGTGATGCTACTTTAGCATCGTATCTGAGGTTGGAGTGTGAAAGCAGCAGTGAGGACACTCAGACTTCCCACTCCCCAGACAGAGTACAGACAAATGTCCTGGAGAGGCCAGACATTGATCTCTGGTTGAGAAAATCCTGCTGCTAAAATATAAAATTAATCTTTATTTTTCCTTGAAAATTGATGTTTGAGTATTAATATTTGGGTTAACATATCTATGCAAAAATTACAAAGCAGGAAGGAATACCAAAATTTACATCAGCCACAGTGGTAACGGCCTGAATCAGGGGGACAGAAGTTAGGTATTCAGTTTTGTTTTTGATCTGTACATTTGCATGCAGGTTGGAAATACTGACAAGAGACAAGCTGTTTGAATCTAAAAAATATTTTACTTTTAGCAAATGCTGTTTGTACAGGCTACATAGAAAAATAAGTTACTGTCAACTTTGAAAAGCATGCACCCTCTCTATGCTCTACAATGTTTATAAAGATGTGTCAGATACTGTACTCTGATACTGTACTTACTGTCTCACTGTGGGGTTTCTAGTGCAGACATGGGCAAACTTTTCCTCCTGAGGGCCACATTGGAATTTCGGTCCGGATCCCGACAGCGTCTGATATTCCAATGTTTTTTTTCAAGCTTCAATTTAAACATTAATGTTTGGTTTAAAGGAAAAAAGCTCTGCACACAGCACAGAGGGGTATGATGTTTAAACTGAAATTACGCCACTGTGGGATGAATAAATGTTCTTAATCCTAATCTCTCTTGATCTTAATCTTAATCTATATAAATTGAGGAGGGCTCGGGGCCTGATAGAAGCATCCAAAGGGCCGCATCTGGCCCACGGGCCGAGGTTTGCCCACCACTGTTCTAGTGCCTCCATGCCAGTCTCAGTGTACACTGATATAATACTGCTATACCTGTTAAGGCGCGTTCAGACCAAAAGCTTCAAAAAACTTTTGACGCGCTTCAACTGACGCCGGGATAGTTTTGTCATTTTGGTGCTTGAAGCTTTTGACGCGAGTGACGCGCCTGACGCCGGTGGGAGGAGCTTCTCTGTTGCCTGTAGTCAGGACAGCGGTGGATTTTTCAATTAGCAGCGAGCCTTTATTTGTTATATAAAGCAAAATAACGTTGTTGTAGGGTGTTAGGCCGGGGCCACACCGCCTGCGTGCGAAGCGCTGCGTAGCTGGCAACCGTTGATTTTTTACTTAGCTCTAATTGAAGCGGATTGGAAGTGGCCACACTGTCCGCGCATACCACGCGCGAGGCACAGCGCGCTAGTGGCGCCACGCGTTGAGAAGATAGAATCAATCCTATTTTTGGGGGCGTGCGTCAAGCGCTCGTCTAGTGTCCCGAAGGAAAGACTTCTAAAATTGATGAAATATTATAATTCTGACATATACATGGGCATATAACTTTGTTCGTAGTCTAAACTAAACAGCTAGCAGGAGAATGACATTTTAGACAATATCAATAAAACTTCATTGATATAAATATTTGTATTAATTTATTTATAAAACGCTTTTCATAGGCTACAACATAACATTCAAAGTGCTTTACAGATTACCCATTTCTTTGATCACAAGAGGTCTTGTCAGCACCAAGAAATCAAGTCCACACAGCACTGGTAACTGAACAAGGAGTGAAAATGTTTTACCTGTACTCACTCCTTAGCTTCTTTGTTTCAACAGACTACTTCCTATTGGTTAATCAAGTTCCACACAGAGATACAGCCTACTACTTAACAAAGGACCAAAAGACTCAACATCCCCCAAAGCAACTTCGGTGTGAACATATGCAAATTTGTGTAGGGAGGGATTGGGAGGTCCTAACGCAACAGATTCAGGGTTACTTGGAACATTATGAATACATACAAGGCCAAGACATTCATATCCAGCATTAGGACACTGCACACCTTTTGAGACTTTTTACACAGTCTATGTTGATAGTACGCATGGTCAATGTTGCATCTGTACAAAAGGTGGATTTCCATGACAACAGTAAACAACTTTCCCGAACTGTGTTGTAATTACATTTAGTTAATAAATCACCGTTCAATAGTCACTCAAACAATGTTAATACAGGACGAAAGCGAGCGTTGTGATATTATATAAATTAGATATGCCATATTTCATAAATGTGCATTGATTTGAAAGGAAGCCTGTTCTCCTTTGTGGGGCGGTACAACGCTGCTGCTGCTGCTGCTGGTGTGGCCACTCTTGCGTCATCGCCCCACTCTGTTGACGAACGCAAGCAACGCGTTACTTCGCACGCCGGCGGTGTGGCCCCTACGTAACGCGTTGCTTGCGTTCGTCAACAGAGTGGGGCGATGACGCAAGAGTGGCCACACCAGCAGCAGCAGCAGCAGCGTTGTACCGCCCCACAAAGGAGAACAGGCTTCCTTTCAAATCAATGCACATTTATGAAATATGGCATATCTAATTTATATAATATCACAACGCTCGCTTTCGTCCTGTATTAACATTGTTTGAGTGACTATTGAACGGTGATTTATTAACTAAATGTAATTACAACACAGTTCGGGAAAGTTGTTTACTGTTGTCATGGAAATCCACCTTTTGTACAGATGCAACATTGACCATGCGTACTATCAACATAGACTGTGTAAAAAGTCTCAAAAGGTGTGCAGTGTCCTAATGCTGGATATGAATGTCTTGCCTTGTATGTATTCATAATGTTCCAAGTAACCCTGAATCTGTTGCGTTAGGACCTCACAATCCTTCCCTACACAAATTTGCATATGTTCACACCGAAGTTGCTTTGGGGGATGTTGAGTCTTTTGGTCCTTTGTTAAGTAGTAGGCTGTATCTCTGTGTGGAACTTGATTAACCAATAGGAAGTAGTCTGTTGAAACAAAGAAGCTAAGGAGTGAGTACAGGTAAAACATTTTCACTCCTTGTTCAGTTACCAGTGCTGTGTGGACTTGATTTCTTGGTGCTGACAAGACCTCTTGTGATCAAAGAAATGGGTAAGTGTAGGCCTAAACATGTTTGTATGTTAAAATGTGGTTAATCTGAATTGGCAATATGTTGTTGCTCTATCAATTTTTACATTTTTTACATTATTCATTAATTTATTTACAATTATTTATGGTCCTAGCTTCTGAACAGCTATTAACTACCTTAACGCAGCACAGAATTGCAGCTGCTCTAACCTTTATATCAAAATGTTATAGAAGACAAAGACGAACATTTCAATGTTCCCTACGAATAATTCTATGGTGGACGTTATCCACTGAAATCAGAGCCATAGAGCATATACATGGGGGTGTAATTTTCTTTTTTAAATGCATTTTTAACCACTTGTGGTGTAGCTAAACTTCATTAAATAATTAATACAATATTTATATCAATGAAGTTTTATTGATATTGTCTAAAATGTCATTCTCCTGCTAGCTGTTTAGTTTAGACTACGAACAAAGTTATATGCCCATGTATATGTCAGAATTATAATATTTCATCAATTTTAGAAGTCTTTCCTTCGGGACACTAGACGAGCGCTTGACGCACGCCCCCAAAAATAGGATTGATTCTATCTTCTCAACGCGTGGCGCCACTAGCGCGCTGTGCCTCGCGCGTGGTATGCGCGGACAGTGTGGCCACTTCCAATCCGCTTCAATTAGAGCTAAGTAAAAAAATCAACGGTTGCCAGCTACGCAGCGCTTCGCACGCAGGCGGTGTGGCCCCGGCCTTACTTCGCACGCCGGCGGTGTGGCCCCTACGTCACGTCGAGCCGCGTTTCCCCGTCAGATACTGTTTCCCCTGCGTCTACTCGCCGCTCCGCCCCGCTCCGCGCCGCTCCACCCCGCTCCGCACCTCGCACGCGGCAAATAGTGCGCGTGCTTGTTCAGCACTCGTAACCAGCGTCTACTCGCCGCTCCGCCCCGCTCCGCACCTCGCACGCGGCAAATAGTGCGCGTGCATGTTCAGCACTCGTAACCAGCGTCTACTCGCCGCTCCGCCCCGCTCCGCGCCGCTCCACCCCGCTCCGCACCTCGCACGCGGCAAATAGTGCGCGTGCTTGTTCAGCACTCGTAACCAGCGAGCCGTGCTTGCGCGGCGAGGCAACTACAGACACAGTGAAAGCACCTGAGTGAAGTTGGCCCCTACCCCACGCAAAACTCAGTGAAAAATAGCCACACTCGTTAGTGCTGGTTTGTGCAGAAAAAATATCATTTGTGCTGTTTTGGTTTTTCAGGTATGACAACTTTATATTAATATAGCCTATATATATATATATAATATGATATGACAAATAAATAAATATGTATGTATGTATGTATGTATGTATGTATGTATGTATGTATGTATGTATGTATGTATGTATGTATGTATGTATGTATGTATGTATGTATGTATGTATGTATGTATGTATGTATGTATGTATGTATGTATGTATGTATGTATGTATGTATGTATGTATGTATGTATGTATGTATGTATGTATATATATATAGCCTATATATATATATATATATAAATACATTTATCTATCATGTGTATATATACATGTATTCCCTCAGTGTTAAACAGGGGAAACGCGTCCTTATGGCCAAATTACCCCCGTCAGATACCGTTCCCCCTGTGTTAAACGGGGGAAACGCATCCTGATGGCCAAATAACCCCCATCAAATACCGTTCCCTCAGTTTTAAAACGGGGGAAACGGTATCTGATGGCCAAATAACCCCCGTCAGATACCGTTCCCCCTGTGTTAAACGGGGGAAACACATCCTGATGGCCAAATAACCCTCATCAAATACCGTTCCCTCAGTTTTAAACAGGGGAAACGCATCCTGATGGCCAAATAACCCCCGTCAGATACCGTTCCCCCTGTGTTAAACGGGGGAAACACATCCTGATGGCCAAATAACCCCCATCAAATACCGTTCCCTCAGTTTTAAACAGGGGAAACGCATCCTGATGGCCAAATAACCCCCGTCAGATACCGTTCCCTCAGTTTTAAACGGGGGAAACGGTATCTGACGGCCAAATTACCCCCGTCAGATACCGTTCCCCCTGTGTTAAACAGGGGAAACGCATCCTGATGGCCAAATAACCCCCGTCAGATACCGTTCCCTCAGTTTTAAACGGGGGAAACGGTATCTGACGGCCAAATTACCCCCGTCAGATACCGTTCCCTCAATGTTTAACAGGGGAAACGCATCCTGATGGCCAAATAACCCCCATCAAATACCGTTCCCTCAGTTTTAAACAGGGGAAACGCATCCTGATGGCCAAATAACCCCCGTCAGATACCGTTCCCTCAGTGTTTAACAGGGGAAACGCATCCTGATGGCCAAATAACCCCCGTCAGATACCGTTCCCTCAGTGTTTAACAGGGGAAACGCATCCTGATGGCCAAATAACCCCCATCAAATACCGTTCCCTCAGTTTTAAACAGGGGAACCGCATCCTGATGGCCAAATTACCCCCGTCAGATACCGTTACCTCAGTGTTTAACAGGGGAAACGCATCCTGATGGCCAAATAACACCCGTCAGATACCGTTCCCCTTGTGTTAAACAGGTGTATATGAATGGTGCCATCACTTTAAAGTAGTAGCACCATCACTTGGACCTGAATATTTTTTCATAGAAACATTGCAGTTTTTTTTACCTTTAATGTCCCCTAATTTAACATTATGTTTATTCTCCCAGGTCTATTAGAAATGAATGATCACACCTTTTACCAGAACTGTAACATTTTTTAATAAGAAATAACACTGAACAAATGCTCAAGTTGTGGCAAAGTTTCCACATCTCCTCTTCCCTCAACAGGCTTCACAAATGAAAGCTGCTGATGTGTCTGAACATCCAGAGCACACATGGTGAAACCACCTCCCACAAACATCACAGGATATCTGCAGAACAAAAAGAGTTAGATTTAATGTACTATATCATTTTAATTTCTTTTAATGTTTCATCTAATATTAAAAAATATTATTGCCTAAGAGTGTAAAGCATTGATCTTAGGATCTATATGCAAGATGAACAGTGTTTAACAATGTTTACTGCCAGTGTGTCAATAGTATTAAGGGAGACAGATTCATAATGCACCCAAAATTCTTTTAAAAAGATTATTAAGTATCATTCTTAAATTGTTATTTTGCCCCTACCCTGTAGGATACTTTTTTCTGCACTTTCGTCAGGATTGCTATTATCATTCCTAAATATGAAAATTATGATAATGGTCATGTAATAAAAGGTATTGTAAAGTCAATTAATCATCAGTTTACTTCCTTTAGTAAGTTGACTGATGCAAGGCCTCATCCAGAAAGATGTGTAGCTTGTAAGAGCTCCTTTGTGGCTCTTTGTGAGAAAGTCCCAGTCACAGCAATTTACTTGTGTGTTTACTGTTTTCTTCAAGCCATATCGGGAGATTATGTACCCTGACAACATCAGAGTCTATGTAAGCGCTTACTACAATACACTTTCAGACCCTGCCCATCCGTAATGCTTCGTCAAAGGCAAACATTTTTCTGTGCCAAAGCAAAAAATATAATTGGGGCCCAACAAATCCAAAAATATTTATTAATCATAAGCCTTATGTCCATTAACATAAAATATATCTAGCTATCTGTCATCTTCACACAAACACAAAAATTGATTATTGGATTTTGGGGGTTCTTCTTTCACTCTGGACATAAGGTCATCTCCCAAAGCATCAATCCCAACAAATGTCCTCATGTCGAAGTACAGTCACATATGCCTGCTTCAAATGCCAAAGAAATACTTTTTAACTCCTTAGCTTGCACAGTGTGGTCAAGGAGCTACACAAAGCACTTTCCTTGCACCTCTGAATTTTATTTAAACTATATGATTTTCATTTTATTATAATTGTAGCAGCGATAGTATTACCTATTAACTTTTTTGTATTTTATGATGTCATCATAAGTATAAAACATTTCTCTCAAGGTGCAAACATGAACACTGTATTGAGAGATAAGATTATACCCAAATGATGCTCTTTGTGTCGTTTGGATCGTCCACATCTTCCTCGTCCACATCTTCCTGTCCACAGATGCAGCAGATGTCTGTCAAGTCATCTGCAAGAATGAAAATGGTTATTACTAATTGTCCAGTTCATTAACTTTGGTACATACCCTAAAAACACAGATTAAACACACTTTACAGAGCTAAACATAACTTTAACTGATGTAGTTATTATCTTTTAAGAGAGCTACTTTTGCTACTCACCTGATGCCTCCAGGACAGTTTCTGCAATCTGCCAACGTAGTGCATCCACATCACTACGTCCAGCAGGAAAAACAAGTGGTTGGCCCGTCAGTATGTTCTCTACAAACTGAAAGACAAATATTAAACACATATATCCCGACATGCATCTCTACTGAATATAGGAGTACATTTTTTCATACCTTTATGGCAAACACGCCGCAAGAGCTGGAGTCAGGTTGTAGGGGATGTGGAAGTGTGTTGCACTCCCACCTAGAAACATTCATGCCCTGTTTCCTCAGAAGAGCTCTAAAAAAGAAGAAGGTATTAGCAATTATGTCATTGAAACATGCCTGTCACACAAAGGCCTGACTGCTGCTAAATTCAAGCAGAAGGCCATGCTTCCTTTGACAAAAAAACCTTCCCAAAAAATAATTTTACATCATACTGTACATATTTAGTTGTGTTTATGATTTGACCAATTTGTAACGTAATTTGGGTTCATGGCTCATTTTGGAGGATCTGTGCCATATAAAAAAAAGATAATTTAAATTAATAGAATTATCCTGGCATCAATTTTAATTGAGCCAACTCCAACACGTATGAAGCAGGAAAAGGAGAAAGAACCGATTCTGCAAAGAAGGGTACACATTTTTTTTCAAGGACAATTATGTGCCATTTATGATTTTGATATTTGCAATTAAAAATCTTCCCTTTTTATAGACAAAAATGGCTGTAAATCACAGCAATTACAATGTGATACGTTATACCACAGACAGCCAGCATCCACACCTGATAAGGCATATATTGTCTTATAAAATATTGACAAATAAACTCTTCTAGGTTTGTCTGATGTAGAGTAGATGTAGAGGTAATGATAGTATCAAAAAACTATCAAAATTATTTAACTATCAACAACCAAAAAATCCTCCAGCTTTGGTATGAAAAAAAAAATAATTAAAAAACTGACACATACCTTGATATGTCTTTACATGTCTTCAGCTTCAGACTACTTACCCCAAGTGAGTCCAGCAGAAGAGATTTGCCCTGTTTTGGATATATAATCTGGAAAGACAACAACAGATATGATTTGTTTACAAACTGTCTGCCTTGTATTGCTGTAAAGGCATATGAATGAAAGATACTTGAATAGAAAAATTCAACACCTGTGATGGACTTTTTAAAACTTTGATTAAAGCAAATACTTTGGAGATGAAATGTGTCTTTAATGATGACATGCAAACACTTACAACAGCAAACCAGTGATGGTTGTCATTAACTATACCATATATAGTCCTGTAGTTTGTTGGATCCCACTGAAAGAATTGAAAGACAGTGATGTCAGCATCATGAATACTTTTTTTGTTAAATGGCAAACAGTTTAGACAACTAACCTTGAAACGTGGAAATTTCATTTTCCACACACAGCTGACATGCCAAATGAATCTATGAACAGCACTTTATCGTCTGAGGATGTGTTGTGCTTTCTCTCCAAATGTTTCAGGTATGCATTGATGACCTGAAAAGATGGATCTTTGCTTGTTAACTTGCACAATCATATATTTGTAATGCCCATCCAGTGCAGCAATATTTCTAAATTGTTGACAAAAACACTATGCGGTTTACCTCGCTCTCGAGTTCCCTTCCTGGTGCTGTTCGGAAAATGTCTGCATAGAAAAGTTTGTAAGGCCCAATTTTAGAAAGAATGATAGCTGATGTTGTACCATCCCAGGCTTTCCGGATATCTAAAATAAAAGAGGAAAGAATTTGAGTTTTTGGATGTGAAAATCTTTTAGTACACATGTTCATTATATTTACAAAGAAAAGTTTCCAAAACATACACTTTTCTACTTTTGTAGAGCCTGAAAATGGTGGCACAGCAGGATGTCTTGCAGCTTCAACACCTTGAAGGGTGGAGGAATGGTCCTCAGCAGGTGGAGGGCTGGATGTTGTCTCTTCAGCAGGTGGAGGGCTGGATGTTGTCTCTTCAGGAGGTGGAGGGCTGGATGTTGTCTCTTCAACAGGTGGAGGGCTGGATGTTGTCTCTTCAGCAGGTGGAGGGCTGGATGTTGTCTCTTCAGCAGGTGGAGGGCTGGATGTTGTCTCTTCAGCAGGTGGAGGGCTGGATGTTGTCTCTTCAGCAGGTGGAGGGATGGATGTTGTCTCTTCAGCAGGTGGAGGGCTGGATGTTGTCTCTTCAGCAGGTGGAGGGCTGGATGTTGTCTCTTCAGGAGGTGGAGGGCTGGATGTTGTCTCTTCAACAGGTGGAGGGATGAATGTTGTCTCTTCAACAGGTGGAGGGATGGATGCAGGTTTTACAGTTTTTAGAATGTTCTGAGGGATAATGTTTTGTTGTTCAATGAAAATCTTAAGCTGATCTGTGTTGACTTTTGGGAAAAAAGCGGTTTCGGATTGCAAATCTGCACTTTTATTTACAAGTTTGACTATGGTGTATGGTCCGGTCCAGTTTCTTTCCAATTTTCCACCCTTCCTCTGTTGGCTTCTGATGTTGAGCCGTAGAACTTTGTCCCCAACCTTGAAAGTTTGGGGTTTTTGATTTGGGGTCTTGTATTTTTTGTGAGTTTTTTCCATATTTTCCTGAACTAATTTATAAATTGCTCACAATTGCTCAAGCGTTTGTGAGCCAAACAGATCGTTTTGCATTGTTGCCAAAAAGTTTGATTTTGGTTTCGTCCGACCAGAGCACCTTCTTCCACATGTTTGGTGTGTCTCCCAGATGGCTTGTTGCAAACTTTAACAACACTTTTTATGGATATCTTTAAGAAATGGCTTTCTTCTTGCCACTCTTCCATAAAGGCCAGAGTTGTGCAGTATACGACTGATTGTTGTCCTGTGGACAGAGTCTCCCACCTCAGCTGTACATTTCTGCAGTTCATTCAGAGTGATCATGGGCCTCTTGGCAGCATCTCTGATCAGTTTTATCCTTGTATGAGCTGAAAGTTTAGAGGAAAGGCCGGGTCTTTGTAGATTTGCAGTGGTCTGATACTCCTTCCATTTCAATATTATCGCTTGCACGGTGCTCCTTGGGATGTTTAAAGCTTGGGAAATCTTTTTGTATCCAAATCCGGCATTAAACTTCTCCACAACAGTATCTGGGACCTGCCTGGTGTGTTCCTTGTTCTTCATGATGCTCTCTGCGCTTTAAACTGAACTCTGAGACTATCAAAGAGCAGGTGCATTTATACGGAGACTTGATTACACACAGGTGCATTCTATTTATCATCATTAGTCATTTAGGTCAACATTTGATCATTCAGAGATCCTCACTGAACTTTTGGAGAGAGTTTGCTGCACTGAAAGTAAAGGGGCTGAATAATTTTGCACGCCCAATTTTCAGTTCTTTATTTGTTAAAAATGTTTGAAATATCCAATAAATTTCGTTTCACTTCATGATTGTGTCCCACTTTTTATTGATTCTTCACAAAAAATTACAGTTTTATGTCTTAATGTTTGAAGCCTGAAATGTGGCAAAAGGTTGAAAAGTTCAAGGGGGCCGAATACTTTCGCTAGGCACTGTATCTGTAGCCAAGTAGCCAGGGCACATGATCACTCAGAGGCATAGTGGCAGGACCATCAACTGTCACATGAGCATTGCACCTGCTTGCTCTCAGTCTATCTGTAGCAAACACCCAACCCAACGAAGTGATTACAGCCTGTAAGAGTGCAGGCCTACTGTACTGCTTGAGAAAGTATTTGGAAAATACTATGTATGTAAAGCACTACATAAACACATTGTGTGCTGTAAATTGACAACCTATACCCTTTACAGTTCACTGTGAAGACTTACTCTATCAAGACCAGGGAAACCAGAAGAATATGTAGGTTACTGCTAATTACCGTAACATCCTGTTCTTCCTGTGAGTGGTACTGTCACTTTACAACAGTGGAGGACTTTACTGTGGAAAAAATTTGTCTTTACATTACTCTGATTGTTTTTCCCATTCATTTCAATAGATTGGGGTGTTATCAAATAGCAGAAAGATGAATTTAATGGATGAACCAATGGTCCTCCAATATTAAAGGTGTGAAACTCAGTTTTGTAAAAATGGCACTTTGATGTTTAGATGTATCCTATTGAAAGGTTGATCAAAGTCAAATGATCCAGTGATCTTTGCATTGTTAGTGTTGTATCCAAGCAATTGAAAATTGTGTTTTGAAAAATGTGCATTTTGATTCGAGGTTGTGTTTTTTGTGTCCAGTTTTAAAAAATAACACAGGGGGAACGGTATCTGACGGGGGTTATTTGGCCATCAGGATGCGTTTCCCCTGTTTAACACAGGGGGAACGGTATCTGACGGGGGTAATTTGGCCGTCAGATACCGTTTCCCCCGTTTAAAACTGAGGGAACGGTATCTGACGGGGGTTATTTGGCCATCAGGATGCGTTTCCCCTGTTTAAAACTGAGGGAACGGTATTTGATGGGGGTTATTTGGCCATCAGGATGTGTTTCCCCCGTTTAACACAGGGGGAACGGTATCTGACGGGGGTTATTTGGCCATCAGATACCGTTTCCCCCGTTTAAAACTGAGGGAACGGTATCTGACGGGTGTTATTTGGCCATCAGGATGCGTTTCCCCCGTTTAACAGAGGGGGAACGGTATCTGACGGGGGTTATTTGGCCATCAGATACCGTTTCCCCCGTTTAAAACTGAGGGAACGGTATCTGACGGGGGTTATTTGGCCATCAGGATGCGTTTCCCCTGTTTAACACAGGGGGAACGGTATCTGACGGGGGTAATTTGGCCATAAGGACGCGTTTCCCCTGTTTAACACTGAGGGAATACATGTATATATACACATGATAGATAAAGGTATTTATATATATATATTTGTGAATACATACATACATACATACATACATACATACATACATACATACATACATACATACATACATACATACATACATACATACATACATACATACATACATACATACATACATACATACATACATACATACATACATACATACATACATACATACATACATACATACATACATACATACATACATACATACATACATACATACATACATACATACATACATACATACATACATACATACATACATACATACATACATACATACATACATACATACATACATTTATTTGTCATATCATATTATATATATATATAGGCTATATTAATATAAAGTTGTCATATACCTGAAAAACCAAAACAGCACAAATGATATCTTTTCTGCACAAACCAGCACTAACGAGTGTGGCTATTTTTCACTGAGTTTTGCGTGGGGTAGGGGCCAACTTCACTCAGGTGCTTTCACTGTGTCTGTAGTTGCCTCGCCGCGCAAGCACGGCTCGCTGGTTACGAGTGCTGAACAAGCACGCGCACTATTTGCCGCGTGGGAGGTGCGGAGCGGGGTGGAGCGGCGCGGAGCGGGGTGGAGCGGCGCGGAGCGGGGCGGAGCGGCGAGTAGACGCTGGTTACGAGTGCTGAACAAGCACGCGCCCTATTTGCCGCGTGCGAGGCGCGGGGCGGAGCGGGGCGGAGCGGGGCGGAGCGGGGCGGAGCGGCGAGTAGACGCAGGGGAAACAGTATCTGACGGGGAAACGCGGCTCGACGTAACAAGTGTTTCAACAAAACATGTTCTGGGTTCACCACAGACTTGAGAGGCTTCAGTGTTTGCAGAGTTCCGTCATTTACTCCAGGAGCTGCGTACGGAGGAGTTTCGCTTTCAGCGGTACTTCCGCATGTCACTCGCCCAGTCTGAGTTCTCAAACCCCGGAGCTCGCCTCTCCCCGCCTCGCTCTCGCCTCTCCCTGCCTCTCCCCGGCTCTCGCTGCCTCTCCCTGCCTCTCCCCGGCTCTCGCTGCCTCTCCCTGCCTCTCCCCGGCTCTCGCTGCCTCTCCCTGCCTCTCCCCGGCTCTCGCTGCCTCTCCCTGCCTCTCCCCGGCTCTCGCTGCCTCTCCCTGCCTCTCCCTGCCTCTCCCCGGCTCTCGCTGCCTCTCCCTGCCTCTCCCTGCCTCTCCCCGGCTCTCGCTGCCTCTCCCTGCCTCTCCCCGGCTCTCGCTGCCTCTCCCTGCCTCTCCCTGCATCTCCCTGCCTCTCCTCGGCTCTCGCCCGCCCGGAGCTGCCTTGCTCTGAGCCAGACTCATAGTCAGCCTGTTCTTATATTAAATAAACTACGTTTACTACACAGCATGTGTACAATGATTTTTGTTAGGCCTGTTTCACACCGCACACGAATTCGTGAACGAATTCGTATATATATATATATATATATTATAATTATAACCTAACCTTAACCCCCATGGAGATCCAGGCCTTCCCCACACCTAACCTTAACCCCCATGGAGATCCAGGCCTTCCCCACACCTTATAATTAACTATGATAATGAAACGACAATCAAAATAGGCTATAAGATACATTATAAGGAAATGTTAGCAATTTATTTAAGGTCTACATGTGCTATTTTGATTTCTGACCTGTTATTTCAGACAACATATGTAAATATACCACATGTTTATTATTTTGGAGTACAATACTACTCCTTTTGTGCGTGCTACTCGTCTAGGCGCTTCGCCCACGCTCGGCGTCAGTCTGAATACATGCGCTCGCCGCGAGGTAGTTCGGCTGGAAAGGGCGCTCTGCTCTGCGCTCGGCGTGCGGTGTGAAACAGGCCTTACTCAGAATGTTACTACTCATACAAATAATATTACTAATAACAATAATGACAATAAAACAGCAGCAGCAGCATGACTTCTCTTCATGACAGAGACAGACCCACAGCTGCTGCTGCTCCTCGTCTCCTGATTGGTTGAAGCCCGCGTCAAAGCTTCAAAAGCTCAGCTTTGCTCAGCTTCGGCGTCAAAGGGATTGTTGTGATACGCGAGCGTTTCGCGCGTCAAAAGCTTCAAGTGAGCGCGTAGTACGCGCGTCAAGTGACGCCGGGGCTCTCGGCTTCACCTGACGCGCTTCACCATTCACTTTCAATGGAAACCTGACGCTTTTGACGCCGAAGTTAAGTCCGGTGTGAACGCCCCTTTATTCTTTAAGTGTAATTATATTGCAGTGTTACAAGTCAATGATGATTGTGCCTCATTGAGCCACCCACGCATGTTGCATGTGTTTTTTTTTAAAATCATCGCTTTTCTTGTGTTTGAACGATTTGAGAAGTTCTCTGTGATACTGACTGTGATTTAGGGCTATACAAAAATATATTGAATTGAATTCAAATAAATAAATCAATCAGATGTGTCTTATCTTATGCACACAAATATAAAA